TGTTGGGCATCTGAGTGCTAAAGACAAGCACTCTACTGTGAGCTGTTTTCAGGTAAACTTGCAGCTTTGGGGACAAGTGATTCAGACCCTGGATCTGTGTCTGGAGCCAAACAGGAGTGTCTGGCTCAGCAAGACAGGGTGCTGGAGTCCTGAGCTGGCAGGGAAAACAGAAGCAGGGGTAGTCTTTGCACATCGGGTGGCAGCTCCCAAGGGGGTTTCTGTGATCCAACCCGTCACAAGATGTAGTAGGATGGCCACAAGAATATAAAGTATTTTATTAATCTTTCACATGCTGTCATCTCTAAAACAGCAACCAAGAGCCCAGAAACAGAATCATAGTTGCTTAGTCATTTCGTTGCTATAACATTTGGTTAACCTTTGGTTCAAACCACTGAAATCTTGGCAACAGTCTTTGAAGATAATAAAGTGTGGTGTTGAGATAAATACCATAAAAAATTCAGCCAAGTTCTGGGTTTTGTCAACTTTTTGTGTGAACCTGTACAAAGACATAAAGGTAGACAAATTTTAAGGTGATGAGCCAAGAATAACTTTGATTAGAATGGCAGACCTATATTTAGCCCTTTCAAGGAAAGAATGCAGTGCAAGAGGCGTATGACTTTTTATAACAAATTGTGGAAAATAAGGGTGTAAACAACCCCCTACTTGAAAATCTGCGTATGTTGTGAAAATTTCATAGAACTCTTGGCATCAGTTTTTGCTTTTACAGCCCAGATTTAGAGTTCTATGAATTGGTTGCTAGGATGCACGGGGAAAACATTTTGTACACCATATTGATGATTGATTTGGTATTATTGTCAGTCTTATCCACAATCTTTATCACAGTGGTAGGTTCTTAAATATAGCGAATACAACAAAATATTAGCGAGAAACTCGATTTACTACTTCTGTATCCCTTCTTGGTAGCTGTAACACACAATAGCTCAAGAACCTAATTCCTGATTTTTCTGTACTCATCTGTTAGGTATTGATTTTTATCTGAACAGCAATGTCCTAGGTGCAGTAACTCTAGCACAGAATGGTGTTTCTGACTGTACATTTAACAAGACTGCAAACTGAAATAGCTTCCTCTCTGGCTTCTTTAACCTTTAGAAAAGGAACAACCCATGCTGAAGGAGCTAATGTTAGCGCCCCCCTCCCCTCATTGGGCTTATTCCTGTGAGGTGCTGAGCAGCCTCCATACCCTTTGTTTTCAGTGGTAGATGAGACACTCAGTGAACTGGGCCCACTCTGGCCTACCAAAATAAGTTGCATACAACTAACTTTCAATCACAATATCCAGATATATGGATGAAGGGAAGTTGGTATTATAGAAAGTTAATTAGAATATGGTTAGGTAAATGGTTTTCGAAAGCCACATTCTTAATGGCTGGATGGCCTTTTTAGTGATGTCACAACCATTGTCCAACAGAGCCTGTAACATTATCACTCGGAATGGGGGAGAGGAAAATCCTAAATTCATCCATTAAAAAGGTTATGAAAAGTTGAAAGGGGATAGTTAGTATCTTTCCCTGACTTTTTCCAGAGACAACAAAAATATAAAAAAGTCACCAAAACAATGACAATACTTTTCCGCATACAAAAGCCTTCAAGAAAAAGAAGAGAACCCCTTCTTATTCAACCTACCTTCTCCAAAAAGATGTGTGTAAATAAATAAGTCATGCAGGATGCCCTGTAGGTCAGTAAATTCTGTTTCTTTTGGTCCAACTGAGGAATCCAGTTCCAGAGATGATGGCCTGGCACAGCAGATGCTGTGTCCCCTCTCCCCCTCTTACAAATTCTGAGGACAGTTATCTTGAATAGTCTGATTTCAGCTGTCAAGACGAAGTACAGAGAGAAAGAGAGACTATGAAATCATTTAATAATCCCCACCACCTTCTGTCTATTACCTCAACTTCTTGTAGCCTTTTCCATCTGCCTTCTCTGTGGCTCTTTTAAGTGTGGCCTCTTAAATTAAGACCCTAATTTGGGATGTCTAAATTAAATCCCCATGTACCATATTATGATAAAGTTGCACTTAAATTCAGCCTACTCACTTCCATGCCCTGTTGAGTGCCATGACCAGGCTTCAGGGGGAAACAGTAGGGTTTTTTTTTAAATCCCACTGTCAGGGGCACTTTGGTTCTTTGGGAATATAATCGTATGAATACATTTTGACTGCTGATTACTGTTTATTTACAAACAGCACTGGAAATCCCGGCATTTACAGTCCTCAGCTTTGCACACGGTGAGCTGTCCAAGTCTAGCCACAATAGTCATCAGGAGAAAATTGTTCGTGTCTCTCTTTTAGTGACCCGGAGGAGATGCTTAATGAAGTATTGGAATAAACAATTTTTCCCTCTGACAAGATTAGATTAAAAGTCACTCTAGGTACTTGCCTGCAAAAATTAATGTATACAATGTAAAAGTCCCCCAGGAGCTTTGATTAAAATATTGGATGATTATCTAGACATGAGTTAAATTAATTTATAAACCCTGCCAGCTTGACACTAGTGTGTAGCCTTTTGATCTCAGGAAAGGCTAAGGTCACTGTATGAAGCATACCCGTGGTTTAATTTATAACCTGTTAGGTTTGTCTGAAGTGTAAATATGACTTAATTTGTGAATTTAAATTTTAATTAAGATATTTTTGAAAGTACAAGTTTACTTAAATGTATTGTGGGCTGCCAAGTAATCTGTTCTGCTAATAGTAAATGACCATTTCGATAATTAATCAAAAACATTTTTTAGCTGTTAGAACTTAGGCAGAACAATTACCGGTAATTGCTTTTTAATTATAAGGGGGGAAATATATGTTAGGCTTAAAGTCAAAATTGTGAGGCCACAACTGATAAATCAGGCAATTTACAGTGCTCAGGCCAAATTGAAGCCAAATTGTAGCTCTATTGACTTCATTGGAATGAGGCCCATTGTATTTATATAATTTATTCAAAGGTAAGTTGTTTCCATAAAATACATAAATAAAAAAAGAAGGATATTGTTATTAATGGGTAATTGTGTTGTGTTACTGCCATTTGGGAATACAAGCAGCTGAAATTCTAACCACAAGGGGTTCAGTTTAAAAGCAACAGGCTGAAACTTTAGTAACATAATCACAAATTGTTACCCAGGCTCTTCATTCTTAATGTAGCAGACTTTGACTCTGTGCCTAATCATGACAGATGACCCTGCATCCCCACTTTTTATCCATTTAGCCTCAACGCCATTCTGAGTCAGTGATCCTCTAAAGAAAATGAGGTACGCTCATGGGAATGCCTTATGTCTGTGACCAATTATAAGATCCGCAATCTCATTTTGGGAAAGGGGGCTTAGATGACCGCTCTCACTGCAAGGAACTGCTCCAGGAAAATTTCAATAATAAAAGGACTGTATAACTAACCACTGTGTAACCAAGATGTGAATTCCATCTACTGTCTTGTCAAACATCTAAAATTAAAGTCAGTTTGGGACAAACATGAAATCAATATGCCATCAGAACTAAGTCACTTAAAATCAACCCTGCCAAACATATTGGGTGATTCTTGAAGGATGATCCAGAGTGAAAGAATGCCATTGAAGCTTATTCAGCATCCTGTAGATGAAGAATTCCTTCCTGACTCCAAATATGGTGAGTGGATGATACTATGCATGTGAGGAAGGATTAGCCATACTAAACCATATGAGATATTTTGATTATCACTTGTATCCAAAGTCAGACTTGTCAACAACTCACTTGGCTTTTGTCGAATATGAGGCCACATGGAAGTGATGCAACAAGGTGGAGAGCATTGGGGAGATCTTTGTACTTTTGGTGGATATGCTTTTCCACAAAGACGCCTGAAAGAAGGCCATTCCTGTGAACTGGCAGAGTTTGAATCTGCTATTGCCACCCACCACCATTATGCAAAAACCCACAAGTCACTCAGGAAATTTGGTGCTATCTGATGGGATCATGTTAATTATGATCTTCAGATACACCAATGAATAGTGCCAGTTTCAGAATGTGATAATAGCAGTTGACTTATTTTCTGTTTTCACAACTCACCTGGGCTATATTGTTAAACCTGATTCAATTCAGGTTAAATCAACTCTGTTTTTGTCTATAGATTTAGTTTCCTTGACATATTGGAGACTTTCAGGTTCAGTTACTGATTTTCTATTTTAATTAAATTCAAAGCTTCTGTGTTTATTTTCAAAGCTCAAGACAAGAGTAGATAATTGAGATGAGAAAAAGGAAAGTATATACCTCATCTCATAGTTTTTCAATCAGCAAAAGATTCTGTCCTTAGCAACGATAGCATAGTTTGAAATTCTGGCAGGGCCTTTGACCCATGTGTCATTGATAGAAAATCCTTGTCTATTCAAGCAACATGATCTGAAAGAGAACATGAACAAATTAAGCCTGATAAGGGTCAAAACTGCATGATTGGAGAGTTTTCAAATAATTTAAGTCCAGTGGGAAAAGGTTTGGCCAAAATGAAACTAGGGTTTGGGAAACTTACAGAAAACATGACTGGAACATTTGAGATGAGTATGCAACCCATAGAAATCCTCACCTTACTGGCCAAGTTGTAGCTTTGATGGTGCCAGGAGCAGCAGAGACATCTTCTGGGCCATAGGTGGGGTTTGAGATCTTAACTGGGAACAACTGTGCTCCTCTCCCTTTTTTTCCCTTTTGTCCCCCTGTTGCTTCTCTTTTCACACTCCCTTCCTCCTGCTTAGAGTATGGGAAGGGAAACAGGGGTCTGGGGAGGGCACATGCTCCAAACTGGTGATCAGACTGGCCCCCAGCACCCCCAGCAGATATCCACCATCTTCGTTAAGGGTGAGGCTGAAACAGGGAGCCCACAATGTCTATACCCCTCCCGGAATTCTTTTTTTTTTTTTTCTTGGGCCATGACTAAGTTGTGATTTTTCAAATAGTTTTATCATGACAGACAACCAGCTTAACTGATCATCATTGCAAAATTCAGTTGAGTCTCTGTCCATGTTAGGGAAATTAGCATTTGTTGTATAAGTCATATGTAGAAACTGTCATTTTTGAAATTTCTTATTATTACTGAGAATTGGAACACAGAGTACTTGCTTAATTAAGGATAAATATTTCTTCGTTTACCTCTTTAGTGAGTTTCTCCAAATGCTACAGGATTTTTATATACTATTCAAAGAGAGTTTTGGTATTGCAAAGTACAACTCATTACTATTGTCATCCAGTGTGTTATTGTACAGTTTGCTTTTCCTCTTGCTTCAGTGGTCTTTGGTATACTAGTAAGTTGCCAAGCATTAGGTTTACTGAACAAACTTAGTTTCCTTTTACACTATTTTCAAATGTGCCTGGTTGAAGTGAGCACATAGTGGTTTAGTTATGTGATAACACTAGTACACTTATGGAAGAAAATAGAGAAATAGAAGTTCTGTTGTAGTAGTTTAAGTAAACAAATCCCTATCCTATTAGTGCATCCAATAAAATGAAACCATTATCAACAGTAATAAAACTAAGAACAGACAAATAGTTTATCTTTCTGCTCAGCTCATTGAAGATCATTGAGAGTGCATATACTACAGTCACAAATAAGCCAGTTTCCAGGGATTTGTCAGAGAAATCCAGTGTGGTGTTAAAGCCATGCTAGGTTTTGGCTGACACCTAGCAAAGATGTATATGATCTGATTCACCATGTCATTAATTGTCTCTTTTAAAGTCAATTAGTGACTTTTTAGGAATGCTTCTTGAAAATTGTTTTCTGGGTGCCAAATGACTTTAGAAAAAAAGTTAAGACCGGCATGTTAAAGTAATATACAGTCATTTGTCAAGTTCAGTGCAAACATTTTTGAGTTAGCAAGTACCTATGTATAATTGGAAGGATGAATTTCTGTAATATAGTCCATCTCTCAATGCATATGGTCTCCCAATAAGAGCTTTGGCCCTTTATCAGCCTGATGGGATAGAAAAAGGAATATTCAAAATAAGTTCACTATTTCAAGATTGAAAATACATGCCCTTGACTATATTAATGGAAAAAGATAATGTGAACAGGTGACAACATTGAAAATATTTGCACAATGGAATAAATACAGTTACTCTGTTGATCTGAACTTGAGAGATGTGCATGAAAAAAATACAAATGATTGGATGAAAATTGATGATTGTCTAATAAGGTAATATAGATTTGTGATAAGATGTTCTGGGAGCAACTTATTGAGCGGGGCTAGAATTTTCAAAGAGAGTTACAGGATCTAGGTGCCTAGCTCCCATTGAGTCTCAGTAGGCTTCTTAGAAAATCCCAGATCAATATATTTTTTTGTACTGATAGGGATCTCCGCCTATAGGGCTCAAGGATTCTAATTCTAGGTCTTCCTATTTCACGCAGATGCACCATTCTGATAAACATATCAAAAACTTTGAATTTACAGCTAGTCTAAATATATGTATTTTTACAACTCATGTTACTAGTTGAACACAGTCTTTTGTCCATCTCCCAATAAATGTAGAATTTAAAATAATTGGTACTGTTTTTAAAAATTATAATCTGAAGATTCTGAAGAAGGAAATAGACTGTCTAAAAACTGTTCCCTGTTAGGTTTTTAAATACTAGCTAGACTTCTATTTTACTGAATGTTTAAGTGTTCAGCTTCAGATTCTATATGACTGGCTTGTAGAAAAGAATGTTTTATGACCTCTAAAAAGTGTTGATGATGAAGCTGACTTCTGAAACAAAGGTATGGATTGCTCAAAATTAATACTGATTTAATTTCTGCAATGGCACAAATCTGTGGAGAGCATATCTGAATGAACTTCTATCATCAAGATTAATTTGATATTTCAAGGAGTAACTATAAGGATCTGAATTATGAAAACTGGGAATTTGACTAAGTTACAAGAACATTGTTGAGGCATTACTATGAGTACACTTGGTACCATACCAAGAGATTTCTAGCAAGGGAATTTTTGTTAGGTTCTTGCATTTTACCAGTAATCACTGATAAGTATTGTGACAGGGTCGGGCCAGATGGCTACAGGAGAGTGATAGAAGGCAGATATATTAGCCTCAGATTAAGCAGGTCCCTTTTCCCTGGGTAAGATAACAGGGGCGGTTCCAGAACAATCAGGAACTTGCTGGAACCAGTTAAGGCAGGCAGGCTAATTAGGACACCAATTAAGAAGCTGCTAGAATCCATTAAGACAGGCAGGCTAATCAGGGCACCTGGTTTAAAAAAGACCTCAATTCAGTCAGTGAGGGGTGTGCAAGGAGCTGAGAGTGAGAGGGTGTGCTGCTGGAGGATTGAGGAGTACAAACGCTATCTGGCATCAGGTCCTGTGGTGAGGATAAAGAAGGTGTTTGGAGGAGGCCATGGGAAGTAGCCCAGGAATTTGTAGCTGTCACCCAGGTGTTACACAAAACACTGTAGACAGCTGTGATCCACAGGGCCCTGGGCTGGAACCCAGAGTAGAGGGTGGGCCCGGGTTTCCCCATCCCCCCAACTCCCTGTTGAATACAGGAGGAATTGACCTGGACTGTGGGTCCCACCAGAGGGGAAGGTCCCTGGCCTGTCCCCTGACCCACTAGGTGGATCAGAAGAGACTGTGGGTATTGTTCTCCTTCCTTTTCCCCATGCTGGCCAGTGATGAGGTTAGCTGAGTGAATGGCAGGTTTGAGCCACTAGCAAAAGTGGCCAAACTGAGGGCTGCTGTGAATCTCTGAGATGAGCAAATCCGTCAATAAGCATAGGACCCACCAAGGCAGAGGAGGAACTTTGTCACAGTATGCTTACTATCAGGTTGCCCAAGAGACTAATTCTTTTGTGTCACGTAGCTGAGATTTCTGAGTGACGTTGAGGAATAGTATCATGGTTATAATTTTGTGAGCCCATTTTTTATTTATTCTCTGACTCATTTCTTTGTATTGAGTTGATGATTGTAAAAGTAATGAATTAAATAGAAAAATGTTTGTATGTTCTAATTTGCTTCTCTTTCTCTCTGGGATATATTGGTTTTCCGTGCCTTCTGTTTGTTTAGTTAAGTAGGCTTTGGGGAGAGGGGTAGTTCTTTTGTTCAGGGAATCAAACTCAATTAAAGACATGTGACATGGCCGAAGTCATTCAGAGCAGTGATTATGCAAACTATTATTTAGGGGGTTGGACGTCTCGTTCTTGAAGTTTCTCTAAGCTTTGTTTTATATTTTTCTTTTTACATTTTAATTTAAATTTAAAAAAACTTCCCCTGCAGTATTATTTCTATCATGTTCATCTTCACCCATCCTCATTTAATATTGTCTTTGGATCTAAGAGAGCATGTGAGTCTTGCAGAATGCCCTAAATATTTGCAATTCTGGACTTTGGTGAACCAAGACAAGAAGCAAGTTTCTGAGTAAAATAGTTCTCACTGAGAACATCCTGCTGTCAGCCCTCTCGGTCCCCCCCTAGTTACACCAGTTCTGATAATTATAGGCAGGGCCAACGAGAGCGGGGGGAAGCCGGTACAAATTACCAGGGCCCAGCGGTCCGGAAGGGGGCCCGGCTTCGCCGCCCCCCTCCTCCCTCGTTGACCCTGTTTAGCCGGACTGTCCTTGCTGGGGGGCCCAAAAATTTTTTTTCACTGGGGCCCGAACCTGCTCTCGGCGGCCCTGATCATAGGTGCTGTTGTGCTGCATGGAGAGAGTGACTGTCTCCCAGTAGACTGGATCCAAACTATTTAGTTTATTACTGTAGAAGTCAAACCCAATACCCTGTCACCTGAAAATCAACAGCTAACCAGTTGAGATCACTGCACACAAATGTTAATATGCCCCATCTGTGAAAGATCAGTAAGCAGGCTACCTCATTCATTCTGCATTAGCTGCAGTGGATGCAACTTTCTTGCTAAGTGCGTATAAGAAGCATCTTGACAACTGCTGCATCCTCATATTCAGAAACTCTTGGGAATACAATACCATCATAGTGTGAGCTTTAAAGACAAAGAGCATACAAATCCATTTATCAGGAGTGCACATATAGGAGTAGATTCTCACCTGCAGGTAAGCCCGGCACCTAACAGGAAATTAGTTGTGACTCCCTGATCTGTGCTGCCCAGTCTCAGCATAAATCTAATCAAGACTGGATGTTTTTTAAAAGATATGTTCTACTTGAAACAGGAATTATTTCAGGGAAATTCTTTGGCCTGAGTTATGTGGGAGTTCAGACTAGATGGATCACAGTGGTCCCTTTTGGCCTTAGAATACTGTATATGTAATCAGAGCAGCTGCTCTAACTTACACCATTAGCACAAGATCCTTAAGGGACCATGCACCAATGGATGGTAGGGGTAGCAGAGTTTCACTTTCCATAGTCTGCCTCCGGTATGCATCCCTAATGGCTCCTGCACTAGAGGTGGAGGGACTACTGGCACAGGAGCTAGCTACGTAGCCTCTGCCAGCTATACATCAGAGAAAAGTGGTTATAGCAGAGCTGAGAACATGGGTCATTATCTCCACCATTTCTTTTGGTTGTCTCTTCTGTTCTAGAAACATTCTCTGTTTTATTTTAATTGAATTTTGGCCAGTTAGTCCTCTCCTCAGCTCCATTTTTCCCAGTGTAAATTGTTCCTCTGCACTAGGTATAGCTAACAAAATGGATTAAGGGCTACAATACAGCCCTTAGGAGGATGGAAGATATGGAAAGGGGAGAGAACTTAGGTGTTGAGAATGAGAGAGAAAATGAATGCAACATTTACAAAAAATAATTTTAAAAATGGAACTATCAGATTTTCCCATCCTTACTCTGCTTCAGTGGGGAAAAACCATTCAATCTCTTGTCTTTAAAAACATTAACTTCAAACATTTTGCCTAATCATGTATGTAGAACTGTCAGAAAATGTGATTTTTTTAATAGAAAATTTAGAGTTTTCAGTGAAAAATCAAAAACCTTCAACTGAAAACCAAATATTTTGGTTTGGAAATGCTGCCCACAAAGCCTCATGGGGTTGTAGATAGTAGGGTTGCCAACTTGGTAATATTTAAAAACCAGACTCTCCAGCAGGAGTGCTGGAACCTCCCCTGCACTGCCTCTTCCCCCTGAGGCCCCACCCCTGCCCCACCAATTCCCCCAAGGCCCGCACCCCATCCACTCCTCTGCCACCCTGCCCCCATCGCTCGCTGCTTTTCTCCTCCTACCCCCCTGCCTGGGTCAGGAGGCACTCATCTGCAGAACTTGGGCTGGGAGCTGCAGCCGCCCAACACAGGTAGGAGGTGGCCCCTGCTGAGGAGGGGCTGGCACAGATGATGACCTGGCACCTCCCTGCCTTCCCCGCAGTAACCAGACATTGGGTGTCTGGTCAGTAGATCTGACCGGAAACTATTGGGTCCCCTTTTCACCTGGGCTTTCTGGTTGAAAACCGGACACCTGGCCACCCTAGTAGATAGTTGCACCATGCCCCAGTCTTCTCTGTGGCCAAGCTCTGTAGTCTGACTATATCTTTCATGATACACCACAGTCTCCTGCTCTTGCTGAGTGGTTGTGGTTCATCATGGGAGATGTAGTCTGGGTGGTAACACTGGCCCATAGAGGAACCAGTGGGCATGTGAGGCACAATGGTAGCATTTTCAAATCAACATTTTTAATTTTTTTTGGCCAAAAACCGGGGGGGTGGTGGGGGGGAGGAATTCTTTCAGGTATTCAGTTTTTCAACAAAAAGTTGACTTTTTTTGTGGAAAGTAGACACTTTTCAAAAGGCAGTTAGGGCTTAAGTAGGGATTGCAGGATCAGCCCGGAATCTTTTGATGAGTTTTATTTCATATAAATGCCAGATACTGATATTTAAATATAAAATTGCTCCATCCTACATTTAAAAAAAAAATCTTTTGAAAAAGTGAAGAATGAACTTTATATAAGCTGATAGTGATATTTGAAATGTAATGTAAATTAAGACCCTGAGACAGGTTTTCTTAAAAACAAAAAAACACAGGAAATTCTAGTGACAACTATGATGTGCTATACAAATACAGAAAAATGAAGTGTGTGAAATATTGGTAGGAAATTAAGGTCCATTTCACTGAGAGAAAAACAATGAAATATAAATTCTTCAAGGAATTTCAGTGTGTTATACTTTTTATGCTTTTGAAAGTTAGTAAATTCTTCGGGATGTTGGGAACTGAGATGCTGCTGCACAGCAACGGGATATTAGAATACATGTTGTGTATTTATGAACTGATTCCCTAATAGATAACAACTGGAGTGGACTGGAATGTTGCAGCTATTTTAATAGCCCTTCCATTATTCTAGGGATTTTTTCCATTGTTTTTTAACTCAATTAACTAGAATGGCTGTAAAGTGGTTTACAAAGTATTTTGTATTTATGTTTTGCAATCATTGCACCAATGTTTTACTGCACCACAGATTTTATACAAGCTCTGCTGTATATAAACATCTTGTAAATTAATAACCCTTCTTGTCTGAATGTTTAATGACTATTGATCACTAGTTTGTCATGAATTGTAATGTATCCCATAGTTTAATTTAAAAAAATATTTGTCAAATACTTTTAGAAATTATTGTGCGGGACTTCGTATCACAGCTGGTGTAGTTTAAGGTTTGGACAGAGTCACTGCGAATGAAGCCCTGCTGTGAAATAAAAGTCAAAAGGCATCTTGGCATCCCAACCATTTCCTTGGGAGAAGATTACAGCCTGAGTATGTTGAACTTTATTGCCATGGGCCTCATGACAGTATTCAGAAACATGCATGGCATTTTTGTTAAAGAAACTCAGATGTGTTCAAACACAAGGGATGGCATTCTTGTATTCATCTGTGTCTTAAACAGAAAAATTAAAAACAAATTTTACACTCATTACAAAAGAACTATAATGGGGTACAGTAAAAATGCTGAAGAATTTATAATTTCTGCATGTAGGAGTTGTTTCCTTGTTCCCTAAATATTTTTGTTATTAAAAAAGGGTAGAACAACAAATCATAACCTTAGATTGTGAAAAATGCATGCATTGTGAGATAGGCACCCAAGAGCTCTCTTTCTACTAAAGTGTTGTTGCTAGTGTTGGTTTGCTGCTAGACCAGAAGGGTTGTGGGACCACAACCGGAAAAGTTCTGCATTGTTAAGTCATCATCCAGAGTATAGCTGGGTTAAACTTTTTAAAATTTAATAAAAATTAGGTGCTTGAATGCATCCATCCAAAATTGCATTCATGACATTCTCTCCCTGCACTCTCCCTCAACAAGTCCACACAAACTTATGAGAGGCCAGAACCTAGTACAGCCAAGTATAAGAAAGTTTATAAAGTTAAAACAATCTTGGCAGAATTTCCTATAGTCTGGGATGGCATTCTGCAGCCTTTCAAACCAAAGATCTGTTTTGCTGTTTTGTAGGCTCCCAGCTCTCTCGTCGGCTAGTGAAATGATCTGAAGGGCCTGTTCTTGGTTCCAGCCATGGCTCCTTTACACCCTTGTGGGTATTGCACCTAGTGTATCTCAGGGTAGAGGTGAGGTTGGTCTAATTTGCATCTTGCCTTGAATAATCCATAAGATCAGGCGTGTCACAGGCAGCCCCTTGACTTGCCCCTTGACTTGTATTGTACTGAGCACACACAGCTGAAGGTCGAGCCCATAGCATCTTTCCAGCCAGTGGTCAACCTCACAAGAGGTGATAATAGAATGTAACCTCTTCACTTGTTGTTACATTCGTTGGAGGTCCATCCTGCCCAGAACACTAGCTAGAGGTATGTATCACCTGAGTAGGCGTACCTACAAAATGTTCAAGGGGACTTGTGGGGACATGACTTGGTGAATTGCGCCCTCCCTTCAGTAAAATTTCTCTTCATAAAATATAAGACAGGCAGAAGAAGTAGTTTCCATAGTGGGGGAAAAACTGCCTTGCAATATTACCAAAAATCTGGGGTCTAGTGTCAGAAATGTCATACATGAAGTACAAATGACAAACAATGCCAAATATGCATATTTCACTTAAGCCCTGATATGCAAATATTGAAGCACATTAGTAAAGATAGGTAGATGCATTTTTGCATGATCAGGTTTGTGGTGTTTATTGTGCAAAATCAAGCAACTTTATTTTGTGTATCTTTGCCTTTCCCCTTTGTGTGATGCATTCTATCCCTGCATCATGTCTTCCTTCTGTCCCATCTACAACAAAACCATTCTATTTCCCAGGTAAATTGCAATACACACATAGAGTGCTGCATACAGATATTATAAAGTAATTATACATTTGTTATATGAAAAACAACCGTGAATTATTTTAAACTTTTTTAGAATAAAATGTACCTGTGTAAAAGGGTGTATGTTATATCCACATTCAAAGGTTTTAAGAACAACTCAGGGCAATTTTCCCCACAACAGTGAGAAAAGTCAGCTCCTTGGAGGCTTCACAACGACTGATAGCCCTGTAGTTGAAGAGGTGAGAGCACAGGTCCTCTATGTGGATCCTTCAGTCATTGTCTTCCTCTATGCCTCACAGAGGTAATATGTCCAGGCAGCCTCAGTGGAATTACAGCCTAGAGGAAGAATTCCTTCTTCCTCACCCCATTGTGGAGAAGAGGAACACAGAGTCTGGTTCTGACTTCATAAGTGAAACCTATCTGTATTTGATGGTTATAAATTAAGTAACCATGAAGTTAGCTTTCCCTGAAAGATGTAATGGCTGAAAACCAAGTCCTCATTGAAATCGGTTGGAGTATTGCTGGTGATTTCAATGGGGCTTAGGATTTCACTCTGATTTAAGAAAAATTAGATTCCATGCTGTATTTTGAAGTATATTATATGGTTTTGGTTATAGGAATTACAAGTGTTTAATACCTCTTTTGACAATCATTATAGTAGGATAGCAGATTAGGTTATCTATAGGGTTAAAAACATGTATTTAAATGTTTTAAAAGGTTCTTATAATAAAATTCCATATAGGAACACATACTTTTTCATTTCATTAGAGACAGCACCTGACTGAATCATATAACAGATATTATATGACTGTTAATATCTCACAAAATTGTTTTTATGTGAAATATATTTTTAATTTGGGGAACGTAGGAATCATAGCCTTGAATGTGTATTCAAGTCTTTCTCTTTTAGATTATACAATCCATTAGATGTATTTCTTCATATAAAATAGGTAACATGACTGTCTATATTTAAAATAATTAAATCTTCTAATATTTTGTATTTTAGGAGGATAAGAGATATTTTTGTAGGGTGACTAGAAGAGTTTCTAATCTATATAATTAAGAAAAGGGTAAATCTGCAGTACTTTTTTCTTAGGTAACAATGTTGGCTGTACATTCATTGCTTGATTTAATTAAATTACATCTTACACTTATTTGCTTGTTGTATAAAAGATGTTTCCTCTTGTTTACAAACCAAGAATACTGACTTATAGCCACATGACATTAACACTTTCTGTGCCAATGAACATAGAAACTATATTCAACCAATCTCATAATAGTGGGTGCAAATATATTTCTTCTTCGAGTGATTGTTCACGTCCATTACACATTAGGTGTACGCGCTCCGCGTGCACGGATGTCGGAAACTTTTTCCCTTAGCAGCTCCCGTCGGGCCGGCAGGGCCCCCTCCTTCCCGCCAGAGTGGCGCCCCGCTCCAGGGTATATATACCCCGGGGCGGGGCGCCCCTCTGGCGGGGAGGA